AAAACACACATAATACATCATGGACAAAATTTACTACAGCTCATGTGGATACTGGAAAGGCGTGGGCGCCATCCCGAAACTCGCCAAAGCTGCTCGAGTCTCCAAAGATGTCACCAAAGCTCTCTGCCGGCGCCACGGTACATCCCGAGAAGAAAATTCGATATTTCAATGCCAACTCGCGTGCATCAAGCCGACCTCCTGTTTCTATCTCAAGACAGAGTGAGACGTAAAACCTGCAAGTATGCCCTGACAATCGTTGATATCGCCAGTCGCTACAAAGAAGCCAAACCTTTCACGGCGAAAGATTCGCACGAAGTAACCAAAGCCTTACAACGCATATACAAACACAGCCGCTTGACCTGGCCTGCTGTCTTGCAAGTCAATCCCGGGCGCGAGTTCTTGGGAGCCGTGTCGCAGCTGCTGGCCAAGCACAAAGTCCAGATGAGACGAGGCGTGGCTGGAGCTCACCGCAGCCAAGCCAATGTCCAGAGATTCAATCGCACCTTAGCCGAACGCCTATTCTCACACCAGTACTCACAGGATTTAATCAATCCCTGAATCCCTGCTGCGAGTGGTGGCTGCCATCAACAACAAAGACACCAGACTCGTGGTCAAGAGATCCCTTGAAGCCATCAAAATGAAATTTGTCGCTGTCGAATCGTCGGCAGCAGCAAGTCACGATAAAACAGAGAAAAAAATACCGGACTGGGTCAGCGTTAGTTACTTATACCATCCGGGTGAATACGAGGGGGACAGCAGAAAAAGTGCCACCGATCCAATATGGTCCATGAAAACGTACAACGTCGACCTAGTCAACATCAAACACGACGAACCGAACTTGTACTACTTGAAAGATGGGCTGCCGAGAGCATTCGTCAAAGAGGAGTTGATGATCGTACCTCACGACACGGTGTTACCACCGGCCAGATGAGAGAGAGACCCTCAACTACGAACGTTGGATAGTTTGCCAGGCAACAGATCAACCCCCATAACAGATATTGACATAACATATCCGACCAGCCGGCCGGCCGACCATCTCAGCTCAGCAAGCGCTACAGCTGAATTGCCAACTAAGAGAGACCACTACACACACTGCAGGCAGGGTGACTCAACACAGCACTTCCTTACCAAAACCAAACAAATTATAGAAGGAGACTCACAATCAATTGTTTTGCGGATATCAACATAACGTAGCCGACCTGCAGGCAACCAGCCAGCTAGCTTACTGAACCTCGACCTGTGAACTTTGCTCTCTCTCAGCTGATACAGGATAGACTAGGAAAATCAATTACCAATCCCAACAGGTTCCGTGATGGCTCAGTTTGCTGAACTGCTGGGAAAATTACAGCTTGCATCATGCAGCCGCGCAACTGTGCTATTGTGATTTCGTATCCCGTCAGGCAACTTATGATTTCCCGAAACGCTAGTAAGGTGACTGAATACAAAGGTGTCAAAATATTGGCATTTCATATCTTGTATGAGCTGTATAAATTAAAAATGTAATAGGGTCATCTGACTGAGATTTACATTCCGTGAATCATTTTCAAATCCAACTACAATCACACAACCTTATCACCAAATAATACCATCCCAAAGTGGATTATTCAATCCTGAACTCCTGAACTTGCAACAAGAAAGGAACACAAACATGGGTTTCAGATGTAAAGTTTATGTATAGAATAAATGATAAACAGATCATGATAAATTGTTCACATTTTGCATAATTAATTATCACTAACCAACATTTATCCTAACACACAGGAAAGAATCGAATGTCAATGTGAAGGTCACCTGTTCTCTATATCATATATACCATGATTGTCCGGAAGCAGTCAGATTTTGGACTGGGGAATGTCCACCGACTCTTCCTGAAGTGCTTGTGCCAAATGTTGGAGGTTGCTGACGTGGTCGCAGACGTTGATCAAGAGCATCCCATAAATGTTCGATGGAGTAAGGATCTGGAGACATTGAGCGCTATAACAGTACTTGGATGTTGTGGTTCGTCAAAAAGGCCTTTGTCAGTCTTGTCGTTTGAGGTCGGGCGTTGTCGTGTGGAAATATGACTTGTCACCAACTCAAACAGGTCTTCATCGCTGTTGTTGCCATACCGTGTGTCCTTGACGCCACTGACAGGAGGAACTGGTTGTCTTGGGTGAATACCTGCGCCGCATAGACGGTTCCTTACTGTCTGAGAAGATATCCAACCCAATCCTGGTATTGATGTAGTTGCAGTGGTGGCCGTGGTGGCCGTGTCGAGCCTGTCACGTAACAGATGAACCCAAATGAACCTGATGTGCGGTGCTTTTATCACACGTGGTGGACCGGATCTGTGAAGAATACATGCCCACTCATATAACTGTTCCATAGACCCCTGTTTCAGATAATAGTGCTTGACGATACGTGAAAAAAATGGCTCCGGCCGAATCTCAGTTGCCCGTCGACAGTCGGCCGATGGCGTTGTTGCTTCTGTTAGTCTTGGCATGTTTTCACTTTCCACTCGCTGTGCAATTGTGATGACAGTCAAATAGAAACCCGTCGTTTTTATAGCCCAGATATTAATGTTTCACGTTCATATTATGCTGTGTTTGATCGCCACGCTCGCAGGTGGCTGAGTGTTTGCGTTTTCCCCCACATTTTTGGCCGTACTTTATTCTACACGTACAAATCTGTCTCGATGCATGTAGACATGTGATATATTCATTTGGTATTCATTTTGTATGGATATCAGCAAAACACCGTCAGATATTTCCCGATTTTATACTTTCTATATTATTTTGGCAGAACATATTTTGGAACAGTATAACATTGTTTTAACACTGCATCTGTAGCAGGTGAATGGGCCAAGCTACCAACAAGTGTGTTGCCTTACCTCCTTTCTCCACATGGCACACCATCAGTACAACGACGAAGGTGCAGAGGGTGTTTCAGAACATCTTCTCAGTTGTTTCTGAAATACACAAAACTAGAAACATCACTTAGAATAAGTTTTTTCATAAATAACGTTTCTTAATGGTCAGTACAGTACACACTAAAGTTAGTTGTAGGACGTTGGTCTTCCAAACAGAGGCAGTGGCATACTGACAACTTATTGCAGTCAGTTTAGTTGTTTTGCATATAAATAAATGGAATAGTAGAACATAGAAGGGGGAAATAATATAATTTATTTTGAACGAAAAGGTCCCATCGTTTTGCGTATGTTGTTCTTATTGGCGAGTTCTACTAAAATCCTGGGCATAATTGTTATGATGTAATAACCAATAAATGATGTAATAACTTCTTTGTATCATTAACAACGTTTTTCAGTCTATACCCATGTGGTCATATTTCCACATCTTGAATATCAAGACAGATAGAGTGATTGAATTCGACAGAATTTCTATGCACTGTAAATATACTCCGGAAGATAATTAGGGCATGTGCAAAACAGTTAATTACAGAGATAAGGCATTGACTAATGGTAATGGCTGGTCTAGAACATGGAAATACGATGTATCAACAGAACATGTTGGCGGTGTTTGTAAGGGTGCATCAACGAACGACGAAAGGGGTGTGTACATTTCAGAAACCATTTGAAACTTTGAGATACCTGATCCATAATTGGTCATTGTGGTGTTTCGTTTCGTTAGTTTTTATTTTTCGCAATTCACTAACCGAGTCGCAGAGTTACCTCCCTTAGTAAAAAGCACATGGAAGCAGGCTGCAATGGCAACTTGCCACAGGACCGGGATTCCATCCCACTAACAGTAAAATAGGCCACCAAAGTGTATGTATATGATGCATTTGATTAATAATATTGCCTAGATGCTGTTTCTATAACAGTTTTTACATGTCAGTTTCCATAAGGTTTGTTTATGGGTTAAAATGTGCACCCGCATCAGGTTTTCATTCCCGTGCAGTGCAGCGTGGTTATTCAAATTAGTTTCCAGTATGTTTGAGCTCTGTACAGAGTAAGTTAGTATCATAAATGTCATATTATATTACTTCTAGTGCTAGCATATTCTTGTGTAGTGTAAACAGCAATATTTTCACCTATAGTTAATTGTCAGAAATGAGTATATTTAGCCTTAATGTCCAATTTGTCAATTTGAAGCGCTCATAAAATCTCAAGGTATACGCCATGCTGGCGCTTCACTGTAGTTATGCAGTCGTAACAATCTTTAATTCTGTGTTCCGAAAATGTTTCCAGATTGTGTTCTGACTGGAACTTTTGTTTGTTTCAGTCTTTTACGTATTATCACGGACAGGAATAAAGTTTATGTCAGCGTAGACTTCTGTACAGTAAAAGAACTTTGAACTTAAGACAACAGTGTCTCAGAAGATAGCTAGAGGAACTCATTCATCACTAGTTAAAGTGTATGAAGAAATATCAGGATGTCACGATCACAAGACAGTGGTAGAAGTAATAGAACAGGAAGAAGTAATAGAACAGGAAGAAGCTCTCTGATATACGACATGTTAGTACAGAAACGGGCCGAAGCAGAGAGTGCAAGAGTTGGGCTACACTTCTCACAGAAAGAATCAGAATTAAGAAGAACTCAATTCGAAACAGATGAGCAACTTAAAATACTGGAACAAGAAAAACAACTAGCTATGGCAGAAACAGAAGTGAAAATTCTAGAAGAAGGAGAAAACGGTACATCTTCACCACCGCCATTACTTCTCCCTGAGAACCCTCCTGCAGAACGTGTCCAACAATACATCAACAGTATAAACCAGAGTAGACCAGTGACACAGGACACTCCTAATAGACAGCTACCACTGGCAATCACCATGTCAGTGAAGAAGGAACTTCTGTTTTCAAGACTCAGTCAATTTGATGACACCCCAGAGACATACATGATATGGAGAGAAACATTCAATAGTGTTGTTGATGAATTTCATTTAACAATTAATGACCAACTGGACCTACTTTTCAAACATTTAGGCCCAGAAAGCAAACGTCAGACTCTCAGTCTTCGCACAGCCAATCTACACAACCCGTCACAAGCCCTTCACTTCATATGGCAGAGATTGAATCAAAGGAATGGAGCACCAGAAATGCTGGAATCATCTCTGAAGTCAAATTGCTGGACAAATTACCTAAACTCACAAACAGAGATGGTAAGAAATTGTATGAACTTTCTGATTTACTCATGGAGATAGAATCCCTCAAGGCTAATGACAAGTACAGCTCACTACTGTCGTATTTTGACACATCATCAGGTGTCAACCCAATTGTGCAAAAACTCCCCTACGGTCTCCAGGAGAAGTGGTCAAACCATGCCTTTGGATATAAACAGCAACACAATGTTCCATATCCACCTTTTTCCGTGTTGGTGAATTTCATTCATGGTATCTGTCTCCAGAAGAATGATCCCAGCTTTCACTATGACATTTCATCAAGTGTTGACCATCCAAAGGTTAAGGCCAGTGCTACAACCACTCAGATACGGACAAGGAGAACCGACATCAACAGACAGGATACACCCATGTGTCCTCTTCACAATTCCAGACACTCAATCAACGACTGTAAAGCCTTTCAAGACAAGCCATACCAGGACAAAATCAGCTTCCTAAAGACTAAAGGTATCTGTTTCAAGTGTTGCATGTCAACAGACCACGTAGCTCGTGCATGCACAGAGAAACTGTTGTGTAAAAAGTGTAAGAGTACCCGTCATACTACAGCTATTCATGATGATGACTGGGTCAAGCCTTCTCAGCCGACAACAGGCCATGGTGGGGAGGCCAGAAGTTTTCGGACAGACAGCAGTATGAGCAATAATGTTAACCATCAGGATCCAGTCTCCTCCAAGTGTACACAAATATGTGGAGGGCCATCTGATACGTTCCAGGGCAAGTCATGTGCGAAGAATGTGCTTGTGCTGGTATATCCTAAAGGAAAAAGAGAACAGGCCACCAGGATGTATACTACAATAGACGACCAGAGTAATGCTTCTTTGTGTCACTCAAGCTTCTTTACAAAATTCGGAATACAAGGTGACAGTATACCTTACACACTCTCATCATGTGCCGGTCAGATTGAAACATCTGGACGTAGAGCCAGTGACTATGCTGTGTCCTCCCTGGATGGAAACGTAACATTTGACCTTCCAGCGCTTGTTGAGTGCAACAATATCCCTGCCGTAAAGGAAGAAATTCCTACACCTGACGTAGCATTGCACCACTCCCATTTGAAGAGCATCGCCAAGCATATCCCAGAACTAGATGACAGCTCCCAGATAGAACTGCTGCTAGGTAGGGATCTGCTAGAGGCCCATCACATCTTGGAGCAGATAACGGGTCCACGCGGCAGTCCATATGCACAAAGGTTACCCCTTGGCTGGGTAATTGTTGGCGAAGCATGTCTTGGTAAAGCACACTCACCACAGCATGTGAATCTCAACAAAGTGTACATGTTGGATAATGACCGCCCTTCAATATTCCAACCATGCCCAAACAATATGTTCATCAAGGAAAATAGTGACAGTGAACTGTTTCAGGAAGAGAGTGATATCTTCTATACCACATCTGAAGATGAGAGATCTGGTACATCTGTACAAGACAGACAATTCTTGGACATCATGGACAGAGATATGTACAGGAATGATAAAGGTACTTGGGTTGCCCCATTACCTTTCATGAAACCAAGAAAGACACTGCCAAACAACAAAACCCAGGCCATCCAAAGAGCTAACATGTTGGACCGCAGTCTCCAAAAGAATCCTGAAAAGAGAAAACACTTCATGGAGTTTATGCAGAAGATTTTCGACAATCGTCATGCTGAACTCGCACCACCTGTACAGGAAAAAGAGGAATGTTGGTATTTACTAATCTTCGGGGTCTACCACCCTGAAAAGCCATCACAGATCAGAGCGGTCTTCGATTCATCGGCCCGGTACAAAGGTGTCTCCCTAAACGAGATTCTCCTACAAGGTCCAGATCTTATCAACGAGCTACTTGGGATTCTTCTCAGATTTAGGAGAGAGCCAGTAGCGATACTGGCAGACATCCAGCAAATGTTCCACTGTTTTGAAGTTGAGGAGAGCCATAGAAACTACCTACGGTTTCTCTGGTACAAAGACAACAAGTTCGAGAATGAACTTGTTGGTTACCGTATGAGGGTACACGTTTTCGGCAACCGACCCTCACCGGCAGTGGCCGCTTATGGATTGAGAAACGCAGCACAGGCAGGAGAGAAAACATTTGGTAAAGATACTAAAGACTTCGTGCAGAATGACTTCTATGTCGACGATGCTGTCAACTCTCTCCCTACACCAGAACAGGCTACAGACCTTCTCAAGAGGACACAAGAGTCTCTGAAGACCAATGGTAATCTGAGACTTCATAAGATCATCTCAAACAGTATGAATGTAATGAAATCATTCCCGCCGGAAGACCTAGCTAAGGACCTAAATGTGTTGGACCTACAACAGTTAGACACATTCCCACTTCAGAGAAGTCTTGGAATACTGTGGGACGTCCAGAGCGATGTGTTCACTTTCCGCCTACCATCAGAAAACAAGCCATGCACTAAGCGAGGAATACTGTCTACAGTGAACAGTATATTCGACCCCATGGGGTTCGTAGCTCCAGTCGTAATCCAGGTTAAGCTCATTCTCAGAGACGTCGTCTCCACAGGCCTAGGGTGGGACGACATCGTGCCAGCTGAACATCTTCAAAGATGGGAGCAGTGGAGAACTTCTCTAAAGGCTCTTGAACAGTGACGGATACCCAGAACCTTCCTGCCATTCTCCTTTCAAGGAAAATACCAAAAGGAAATACATGTATACTGTGATGCCTCCGAAAGTGTCATTGCAGCTGCGGCCTATGTCAAGGCAACCAGTCAGGAAGGAGGGGTGTCATTCGGATTCCTGCTCGGTAAGACGAAGGTATCACCAAAGCATGGACACACAATACCTCGCCTAGAACTCTGTGCAGCAGTGCTTGCCACAGACACTGCTCTCATGGTAACTGACTACCTGAACTTGTCATGTGAAAGTGTTATGTATCATACAGACAGTAAAGTAGTGTTAGGCTACATCTCAAACAAGACTAAACGGTTCTCTGTTTACATAACGAACAGAGTCAAACGGATCCAGAGATGCTCATCACCAGAACAGTGGCAGTATGTGTCAACCCGACACAACCCAGCAGACCAGGCTACTAGACCTATAGCTGCAGAGAATATGGATGGTAACTCATGGTTACAAGGACCCCCTGTCTTCTTACAGAACCCTGAAGACTGTGGTGTCATCGACAGTTTCCCTGAGATGGAAACTGAAAGGCAAGCAGTACCCCCTGAAGAGAAGCAACAGTGCACAATGCTTGGCTCAAAGAGATTTGAACGGTTTTCAAGATGGGACAGTTTGGTGAGAGCTCTTTCGCGGCTTAGAACTTTTACAAGGAAAAGCCGTCATTCAACAGACATTGAGGCCTCAACTGAGAATGATAGTAAACATGTATACACAGAGACCGAGACATTCATCATGAAACAAGTCCAGCAAGAGATGTTTGAGAAAGAGATTAGCTGCATCAAAATGAAGTCTCCTCTCCCTAAAGACAGCCCTATAGCAGCCTTGAACCCAGTGCTGGATGCAGACGGCGTGTTGAGAGTAGGAGGTAGACTTGGTAAGTCGGACCTTGAAAGAAATCTCAAGCATCCTGTAATCATTTCAGGTAAACACTATGTTGCAGTCTTACTGGTAAGACATCATCATGACCTCATCCAACATCAAGGACGTCACTTCACAGAAGGTGCCCTCAGGTCTGCAGGCTGGTGGATCATGGGTGTCAAGAGACTAGTATCTAGCGTCATCCACAAGTGCGTCACATGCAAGAAACTACGAGGTCAACAGGAAACACAGATCATGGCGGACTTGCCCGCAGACAGACTCACCAGATCACCTCCATTCACTTACGTGGGAGTCGACACGTTCGGACCTTGGGAGGTGATAACTCGTAAAACAAGAGGAGGAGTAGCCTATAGCAAGAGGTGGGCAATATTGTTCAATTGCTTAGTTACAAGAGCCATCCACATAGAGGTGACAGAAGAAATGTCAACATCCTCATCCATTAACGCTCTTCGACGATTTGTTGCCCTCCGCGGCAAAGTACAACAGTTCAGATCGGACAGGGGTACAAACTTTCTTGGAGCTACAGAGATCCTTAAGGTTGACACTGTGAACGTTGAGGACAAACCAGTTCAGGACTTCTTGAGTAAAGAACAAGCTAAGTGGCTCTTCAACCCACCCCACTCGTCTCATATAGGGGGTTCATGGGAACGAATGATCGGACCCGTCCGAAGGATCCTAGACAGGATGATGAGTAATGTGTCTCCAAAGAAATTCACCCATGAAGTTCTGACAACCTTCATGGCCGAGGTGTCGGCCATTGTCAACTCTCGCCCCATCGTACCGGTTTCATCAGACCCTGAACAACCACACCTGTTGACCCCAGCAACATTGTTGACACAGAAAACAGACCATGTTGTGTCTCCTCTCAAAGGCTGTACAGGTTCTATCAAAGAATTGTATCTCAAAGAGTGGAAACAAGTACAAGCTCTGGCTGACATGTTTTGGAACAGGTTCAGGGCAGAATACCTCCAGACACTACAACAGAGACAGAAGTGGCAACATGGGAAAGAAAACATCAAAGATGGTGATGTTGTGCTCTTGAAAGAGAAAAACATACATCGCAATGACTGGCCTGTGGGCAGGGTCATAAATGCTATCCCAAGTAGCGATGCGAAAGTCCGAAAAGCTGAAGTACAGATTGTTAGAGATGGAAAGATTGTAACTTTCACCCGACCTATCACTGAGATAATTCATTTGTTATCTCCAGAAATTTGACTGTAATGAGTAATGCAAATCAACCTCAGGACTTACAACTTTAACGTCAAGCCATTTGTGAGATTATGATCAGTATTGTTTAGAGAATGATGTTTTAACATATGAATACCTCAAAGGCACCAGTTTCATGTTTTGAATGCATATGTACCTTATTGAACATGTTTATTATTTACATTCAGAATAGCTTAACAAATATCTGTTCTTTGAGAATAGTACATGTAACAGCTTTTAATTTCTCTTTGCCAGAAGTTTGGTAAATAATTGAGGTATATGTTTACGGTATGTTACATGGAGTAGGAGATCTATAGCCTCCAATTGGCTGTTGCTCTATTTCATTCAACTTTCAAAGTTTATTATAGTGTTTAGAATTTCACTTGAATTGTTAGTACAAATGTAAAGATGCATTGTCATGGTTTGTTCTACCATGCATATTTGAGTCAGTTTTTTTATACATTGTGAAACTCAGCGACTCTGTAAGTTCATTTTCATGTGGTTACATGGTTACTTGGTAATATCTTCTTCAGATATTAGGTGGGGAGTGTGGTGTTTCGTTTCGTTAGTTTTTTATTTTTCGCAATTCACTAACCGAGTCGCAGAGTTACCTCCCTTAGTAAAAAAGCACATGGAAGCAGGCTGCAATGGCAACTTGCCACAGGACCGGGATTCCATCCCACTAACAGTAAAAATAGGCCACCAAAGTGTATGTATATGATGCATTTGATTAATAATATTGCCTAGATGCTGTTTCTATAACAATTTTTACATGTCAGTTTCCATAAGGTTTGTTTATGGGTTAAAATGTGCACCCGCATCAGGTTTTCATTCCCGTGCAGTGCAGCGTGGTTATTCAAATTAGTTTCCAGTATGTTTGAGCTCTGTACAGAGTAAGTTAGTATCATAAATGTCATATTATATTACTTCTAGTGCTAGCATATTCTTGTGTAGTGTAAACAGCAATATTTTCACCTACAGTTAATTGTCAGAAATGAGTATATTTAGCCTTAATGTCCAATTTGTCAATTTGAAGCGCTCATAAAATCTCAAGGTATCCGTCATGCTGGCGCTTCACTGTAGTTATGCAGTCGTAACACTCTTTAATTCTGTGTTCCGAAAATGTTTCCAGATTGTGTTCTGACTGGAACTTTTGTTTGTTTCAGTCTTTTACGTATTATCACGGACAGGAATAAAGTTTATGTCAGCGTAGACTTCTTTCGTCTGTACAGTCATAACCTAGTAGCCGACCCTTTCCGTCAGCATGCAAGTCTCCCTTCCATGTTCAAGTCATGATCTATAGGGACTGAGTTTAAAATAACATCAGAACCACTTCCGGTATGGTATTCGTCACTGAACTGCACAACAACGTACTGAGATGTTTCACTGTAAATTTCGAATTTTTACTATATGTTCACGTGCAAATCATTAAAACGCTTGGTCGAAATTCATTACACGAAGGTGGGGGGAATAATTATTTTAAAAATCCATAAACAATCATACAACCTTCTAACCAATAATATCATCCCTAAATGAAATACCCTCTGCTGAACTGTGCAACAACAAAAACGAAAGGCAAGCGTGGTTTTCAGATGCAAGTTTATGTATAAAAGACATAACCGACAGATCATGATAACATTTTGCACATTATTGCATTCAAGGTATTATCGACCTTTTTCATCGGCGTATAAGTCTCTGTATCATGTCCAAGACGTGATCTACAGGAAAATGTTTGGCTGCTGGATGTAGTCACGAGACAAAAGGTGAACCAGTCTGTTGTCCCTGCAATACTGTCAATTTACCATTTCATGTACAGTATGGATTGGCGTTAATGCAGGAGTAGTGACCCTTCCGCACGTCATTGCATATGCATCCCTAAATCTGTCATGTTACCTCAGGTTGTCGGTTGTCAGGATACCATACGCGATCGCGGATCACGATTTCTAATCGTGAGGTCAGTGGCTTGACCTCTAGTGGCCTCAAAACTGAACTTCATATACTGCTGGTCCGATCATAAACAGACTCCTGGACACTGTTCTAATGTCTGTAAATGACAGACGATTCAAACATACAAAGTCTGCAAATAACATGCCAGTGTTACATCGAACAAACTGACTTCCCTTCGTTGAGTTCTATCAGCCTGAAGCATGCTGTATATACGTTCTTCACGCCGGAGGCTACAATCCCGTCTTATTATTAATATTATTTTATAACAAAAGCAAAGATCATATTTGTAACTGTAGATAGCAACAGTCGAAGTTCGACAATACCAGTAACTCCGACGATGCTTTGGAACTTTCCTTGAAATGTCAAAATAGATCGATAATAACCCCTGTGAACGTGCACGGAGGCATTGCATCGTTCACGAGCAATATGTGTGGGTTGTCGAGGCGTTTAGTTTTGGTTCCCAACCCGTCCAGTGCTGACACTCATTTTTAAAGTTGATCATTCGAAAAGCGTAAGATCATGACAATCATAAACCCTTAGAAGTTTAAGAGTATATGCAGTGATCTTCCTGTAAATCTGCAACTCGTTTGTAATTTTAGTTAATACTTACTAACGGAAACAAGTGACAGAACTAAGACATAATCGTACTGTATGTTCACAAATTGTATACTAGCCACATGAAGAAACTGTGCATTGTCAAAATGTTATCCCAGTTGATAAGTACGAAAACAATGTCAAAGGTACATATAAACCTTAATGGACGGATCATGAGACCATAACAAGTCGGGAGAATTTCAACTGAAAAGTCAATCACAATGACGTCACGAGTCCACAAGCGGGACAGGGGTTAAACAACCATGTCACAACCTCAATAACGGGTATGTCCACCATCGGCATTGAGAACAGCAGTGCATCGACGACGCATAGAGCCTATCAAACGTGCAAGGAAGGCTTATGGGATGTCACGCCAGATTCTCTAAAGTTCTGTTGCAAGGTCAAGGACGTTATCTGGCGGATGAGGAAGACGGCGTAGACGTCGATCCATCTCGTCCCAAACATGCTCTATCGGGGAGAGATCCGGTGAATTTGCAGGCATAGGCAGTAAGTCAACGTTGTGGTGTTGCAAGAAATCCATAGCAACCCTTGCCGTATGAGGGCGGGCATTGTCCTGTTGGAATGTTAACCCAGGGCCATAACGTTGCAGAAAAGGAATTGCCACAGGTCGAAGAATCTGATCCCTGTAGCCCACACCAGTTAAGTTGTCCTGAACAATCACCAAAGGTGTTCTTTGGCGTGCTGTTATTCCACCCCAAATCATCACGGAACCATCAAGCGATTTCTCTCCAAGACACAGGCCTGTGCATAACGTTCTCCCACGCGTCTATAGGCACGTTGACGTCCATCACTATGGGAACTGTTAAACCTGGACTCATCTGTAAAAACAACATTTCTCCACCAAAACAAGGGTCTGCGAACATGATTTCGGCACCACATTCGGCGAGCTTGTCGATGACGTTGTGTCAGGATAGGCCGTATGTCGGGACGTCGTGGTCTGATACCGTAATGACATAAACGTTGTCGAACTGTGTTGGGGTTGATACGGCGAAGTCCTGGGATGGTTCGGGCAGGCATCACTGCAGTCTCAAACCTGTGGCGAAGATGGGTCACCCTTATCCATATGTCCTGTCTTGGCGTTGTTACACGTGGACGTCCAGAACGTGGCCGATCGATGACGTCATTTGTGTTCTGGTAGCGTCTCACCAGTGCAGAAATGGTGTTCCGGTGGCAGTGGAAATGTGCAGCCACTTGTCGTTGAGACATTCCCCCACGGACCATCCCAATGGCCTCATGACGTTGTGCAGACGTGAGCCTTGGCATGCTATTCGTTTCAATAGCCGTTTAAGTTTTTGAACGATCGCAAGGGCAGGAGTTGAGATTTCCAAAGTCCACTATTGTGTGGCATTCATTTGCTCTGTTTCTCTTTGACGGAATGCACGTACAACAACGTATTGCACGTCGCAAGGACGCACCCACTGAAGTCACGGAACGTGGCACGCGCATGCATGTTGGATACATGTCACTAATCTCTGAGTTTAAATCCTTATGTGTCTACACAGGTTTGATAAATTTAGATTTTAAATTTTTGTATGCACAGTTTCTTTATGTGCCTAGTATCTATCGTAATCAAAACCCTTCTTCTTCAAATGTCCGAATCTGTTGTTTACTCCATGTCACAGGATAACTTTCAAACCGCAGTATGGTGTACTCTGCATTAGGTTCTGGAAGATCAGCGCCACTGTTCCCGAAGATCCAGGAATACTCTTGGATGTGGCAACATGGTGCCCTTATCCGTTGTTTCTGGACTCCGTATTTGGACGTATTGTCATTTTGATAATGATACATAAACACAAGCTCGCCATACAGTCGAAATTGTACACTCGGATCTGTTTTTTGTCGCTATTAGTAAACAAACCTAAATTGTCTTAAAAAGTACGTCTTCAACGGTGTTCTAAATTACCTATTGTAAGTCCCCATGGTCCCTAGTAAGATGATTTAGCCTCAGTTGCTGGTGAACTATAGCCCTTTTTTTTTATATTGTATTGTCCTGTATTGTAGTGAATGTTTTAATGCTTACATGTTAGCTGTAAATTTCTATCTGTGATAACCAAGTTGTTTGACTGTCCTTTGCTGACATATTTTGTAGAAAACAACTTTATTAGTAAAGTATATATTGTTTTAGTCAAGATACGGCTCAAATATTGCCAATGTGACTTTACATGTTAACTCACTCACTCTAGATAACCAGCAATGGTTATACGTGCATGTATATCCCTCTATGCGGGTTCCCTACAGCGATCGTAAGAAGTGATCAGGTAGTCATGTTATAAGTGACCTCGAACTCCAACTGTATGAATCATTGGCCCCAATATAGATCACTGTATTGTATGGTCCAGAACTGATTGTTGACTGCTTGCTGTTGTCTTATCAAAAATATTGGGTAAGACTTCCGCCCCTATTCCCCCTAAACTTTAACGGGAAGGAAAACATTCTTTGAGTGGCAT